GGAATTCATGGATGCAGTGGTGGGAGAGTCCTCACCATTGGCTCTTTCTTGCCCATCCCTAACTTCTGCGTGGTTGCTGTGGTGAGCTGTGTTGCTTTAGTGGCTGCGTGATCCTGATGTAATCCGTTGCTGCCATCTTTGACAGTGACTCAAGTAACACTGTTTCTAGCCAGACACAAGGCTGTTTGCCCCTGTTGGCGTCTTGCTAAAGAGCTTTCTGTGGAAATTAAATAAATAAAATCTCCACCGCTGGTGCTAATTGGTGCCTTTGGCAGCCTGAGCAGGGGCTTGTGAATTGAATGTGTCATGGAGAATTGAATGTGTCAACTCTCTCCCAATGGCTGGGACCTTGAGGTCTTTTCCTAGCACTAAATTTCCTTTGAAAAGAAGAAAAAAAAAATAGAGAAAACAAGCTGAAATAAGAGATCTTTTCCCTTTTTTTTAATGAGGTGTTGAAGTTGAGCATTCTCGTGTACATACTGCAGCGTTTTCTCGTCAGATGCTTTGAGAAGTAGGGCTGGATTCTGCCGTTGTTTCTCGAGCATCCCATTTGTTGCTCTTAGCCGCTGTGCAGCACGGGGTGACAGGTTTTATTCAGTCTGTTCAAGCATCTGGCAGGATAGCCATGAAGTTGTTGCCCATGTCCTTAAGGGACTGCAGGGATCCACATGATTCATTCAGTGTTTTTTCTAGGTAAAAAGAAGAGATGTCTTATGCTGTCCTAAATACGGTTCCAAGTAGAGCACAACCAGCGTATAAAGACAGGAGATTTGCTGCTTTGGAGGCACTGACTGGCAGCACAAGCTCCTGTCCTTTGGTCAAGGTACTAGCCCACATGGAGTTAAACTGGGCTGCATATGAGGCTGTTGAGTATCAGCAGAACCGTGTCCACAAGCCAGTTCACCTTTTAAGTTGTCCTGACTAGAAGAGGAGAAGGTTGTCACTGTCAGGCTTTGAGTTATTTGGATGTCAGAAAACTTTAGTTGTGGTTCAAGCTGCTGTCAAGTTTGTTAGTGGTGAAGCCAAGATTGTGTGTGCAGGGGGCTAGAGAGAGGAAGCTGCTTGGGTCTTTTTTCTTCTCTTAGTAGGAGACATGCTGTTTCTTTTCCAGCAATGTCACTGACTTGTCCTTGGCAGTATTGCATTTACTTAGGGAAAATAGAGGAAGGAAAGTCATCTCCTAGTTGTCTTTCAGCAGAGGCCAACTACTAGTCCTAAAGCACAGATTAGTCTTGTCCTCTTACATGGGTATCTTCCCTTCCAATATTTCCACAGAAAAGGCTGAATTTGGTACTTTCTCCTAGAGGATGTGGTACTCTCTCCTGCAGGACTGAGCCAAAGAGATTGAGGCATCAATCTGGAGGCATCTTCAAAGCCAACCTGTTGGAGCTGCAGCGGTTTGCGTAACTTGGCAGTAACGATGTCCAGAAAGTCCACAGGCTGAGCTGTAGCATTTCCTTTGGGACCGTGTGTGCTTTTGCCTCTTCTGTTTTCCTTTGTTTTCTTATTTTTTCTTTAGTTCAGCCCTGACTTCTTCAGCAGATAGCTTCAAAATCAGGTATCCGCAACTGGTGCCTCAAACCACAGCAAACTGTTGGTTTGTTGTACTTTTTAAAAAAGATACGAACATAACAAGTCCAGAGAAATGTTTTATCCATGTGTGTTTTCAATGTGTTGATCTGTGAGCTTTGGAAGCTCCATTTTTGTCAGGATCTGATGACCTGCCTGAAACATCTGCACATTTTCCATTAAGCTGTTGTTTTCTCCCAGTCCTCATTCACAGAGACATTTTTCTCTCCTGCACTATTACTTCCCAAAAATGATTAGTTAAAGGGTATTTCACAGCATATTCATCTTTCAAGTGCAGTTCTTTCAAGTAGTGCCAAGACTGATAAACCAGTAGATTTCAAACTTCTCCTTATCGGAATAAATCCACAGATCTGAAATCTGAAATGAAACTCTTCTGACCTGTGGTAAAGGACATCACAATTCCAGAGTCGTGACTACTGCTAGATATTTTCCCCTCTGAATCCTCTCTCCTACTTAACAAGCTTTATATTAAAAAGCTAATAAACCAAATGAAGGAACAATAGAAGATTGGCTTTGGAGTGGGCTGGCAGGACAGGAAAACATTGCAGTGCTTTCTCAAAGTCACGCTATTAAATGTCACACACTGAAACTTGTTTCACATTTTAATTCCAGAATACAATAATTAAAATTTTCAGAATTTTCCAGTGAAATAGAAGATTGAATAGTCTGTAGCTATGTGTAATAATCATCCCTACCGAACAATGTTCAGCTCATTGAAATAATTATTAAACCATCTCTCTTGTAAACTGTGAAGTTTTAAGGAACCTCTTGGCAGTATGGAAAGTGTTTCTCCCAGCTGCATTAAGTCTGCATTACCTGCCTGCATGTGTATTGTATTTTCTGCAAGTGCTCCTCTGCGTTATGGATAAGCTCGCTGTATTCCAGCTGGGAATATCTGATTACCTTTGCTCGTTATAAAGGTAATGGTTGTCACTGGCCCGGCTGCAAAGCCGGAGGGACCGTTCACAGTGTAATGCACAGCTTGAGCCAAGCGAGAGGTGGTGGAGAGGGCGATCTGGATTCAGCCCGCCCTTCCAAGATGTGGTGTGGACCACTTCCACACGGTTCCTTAGCATGTTTGCTAGCTGTGTTCTCCGGTGCATGCTTTCTCCTAGGTCTCCTTTGCTGTTACGGGGATGCTGCAGAGTAGAACAAAAGCTGATATATCAGGTGGGACGTGATGTTTCACCTTGGTCAACATTAGGGAGCTGATGCAAGCAACATCTTTGCTCACTGCCCAGAGGACAGATTATTTTATCTGTGTCACGCTTCAAGGGAACACCAAGGCTCGAGAGCTGGGATTTTTTCTATTTACAGTTTGGTCTTGACATTTTTCTGGAGTTGCAACAAATGTCTGTCTGTGATTAAGTGAATAGGATCGTTTTCTGATTCGTCAGTAAAATCTGCATTGCCTTGTTTGATACGAAGTAGGTTTTTGCTTCAGCAGCCACTTCTGCCTCCCGTGGCGTTACCCAGCATGTTTTCCTTCTCACCGTAACGGCTGGGTCACTGAGCACTCTGTCTGCAGCCACAGAGCTCCATAGGAGTTTTGGGGTCTCTTCTTAATGTGACATGGCTCCAAAGCAGGAGCTGCCCATGTCCACAGGCCAAGGGCTGTATTCAGACCCCTCCGTTTCCCCTGTGGACAGAGCAGCAACAGATCAGGCTCTAAGGGTGTGCCTACATCCCTGATTTACTGTGCTGGGTGGGACCTATTTGAATGTGAATTTTCATTGTGTCTATACCTGCGGTCTTGTGTTATGCACATAAACATACCAGTGATGCTTTTAAAGTGGTTTCCTTCCTACTGGAAGTCAAGTTGACAAAAGTCACAAACTGGGATATGTTGTCGAGTATCAGTCCTGCAAGTGTGGATGGGAGGTCCTTCCGCAGTAAGCTCTCTGCACATGTCCTGTGCATCCCTGGGAACAGACTTCATTACTGTGGGACGTTACAGATCCCAGCAAGTCAGATCTTGATCCTGGTTTCTTTGTCCCACACATGTTATAGCTGTCCCCTGAGGATCCACCTGTGAGCCCCAACCTCACCCTGGGGCTGGTGTTGAGCTGTCTGGGTTGGGTGTGCTGTGGGAAGAGTTACTTTCCCTGTTTGCAGTGGAGAAAGTGGCAACAACCTGTGTGTTCGGTCCCACAGGCCACTTAGTTGGACCTGTGGGATAAACCTGCCAGGGGGATAAACAAGGGATTAAGGCAACTAAAACTACCTGCTTTAGTGAAGGTTAGACAGATGCAGCCTCACTTAGTGCTGCCAACCATCAGCAAACTCCACTATCCCCCCAGTGACGAATTCTCCTGCACCTTATCTTCCTTCTTGCAACTGAGATGAGTGTTCTACCTCCCGTCCTACCTGGTCTCAAGTGGTGGGGAGCAAACCTTAGCTCTTAAATATATGGCCCGTTAAATAAGGTCCTGCTTTCACCTGATTTTCTGACTGGGA